CAGTGGCGGATTGGAGTAGATAAGCGTGACGCTTCATAGGCGAGGAATTCAAGGATCGGATTTCGTGGGCGACAGCGTTTTTGCATCTTGCATTACTTCTTCCTCCAGGTTGTGAAAACCTTTTTATGTTAGTTTTGCCGCCTTCGGCGACTTTTTGAATGCTTGAGGTGAACCAGTTCCTGCCAAAACCGTCTTCCACTGCCCGATGATATCGATTAGTTTTTGAAAAAGGTGGGGGTTGTGGTCAGCTTTCAAAAAAGGTAAGGGTTGCCACGTGGCAAATGCGGCAAAGTATGGTATATATGGATGGATGTAACACCGAAGAACAAGGAGTGTGTTCTGTCCAGAGTTGGTAGTATCGCACCTCTTGAAGACCTTCGGATCCTGTGATGAAGAACGCGCCCCTACAAGGAAGGAGCAGAAGTTGATAGATAGTTTCTCCTCTATCTTGCGGAATGCGACTCACGAAGACCTCGATATTGAGTGCGAAGAAGACTGCGTGATTGAGGACGAGGAGGCCGATCCACTGTGGGAGCCCGATGATGAAGAGGAAACAGCAAGCACATCTAAAGGGCCGTTGATGTTTGGTAATGTAGAAGTCTCCAAAGAACAGGTACAGGTTCTTCTCTCCAGCACATTTATCAGAGCGAGATAACCAAATAAATCCAGGTGGAGAGCGCTATCAGATTCTATCGGTCAAGCGCAAAGGGATGCCGTTCGCTGTCGTGCATGAGTTCCAATTTCCGTTTCATCCGTAGCGAGTACCATCTAATGAGGTTGAGGCAAATCGAAAGAGAAGGTTAGTTATAGCTGCGGAATGTCTTTTTGTTTTGGTGGGAAATTACGACCTTATCGAATAGGTGAGATTCTCGAGTGTCGTTTGGCTGCTCTACGAACGCTGGCGGACGACTTGAAAGAGAAAGTTAAGTTGAAGCTAGAGCGAGGAGTGACACTCCATGACTGCGATATACGCCAAATGGCTTTGAAAATCAACAGGGAAAGATCGTTACTCGCAAATTTCAAAGCAGGACACCGGTGGATACAAGAGTTCAAAAAAAGATGCGGATTGGTCTCAAGACGTATTACCACCTTTTGCTCCAGGAAGAGTTTTCTGGACAAAGACCGTATTTCCGCAGACGCCAGAAACTTTGTGAGCGAAGTGAAAAAGGTAGGATTCAGATCATTAGGACACTTTTATGAATTTTTTCCCAGTTTTGGATGGTACGTTGTTGGTTCAACACGGTCAGTTTATAGAAATGGAAAAGTGGCCATTGAATGCAGTGTGCAACGCTGACCAGAACGGGTTCTTGAAAGAAATGCACACTTTACGATCGCTAGCTTTGAAAGGCTCGAAGAAGGTGAAAGGGCGGTTCAGTCGGTCTCCGCTACTACCCACTCTTTCACGGTTATGCCTTGCCTCTTCGCCGATGGCCACCTAGGTGGGAAGCTGTTCGTGGTCATCCAGGTCTGTGATAAGAGCTTCTGCATTGCCCTTTGATTCTCAATCTAGCTTTAATAGGAACCCACTGGCGAGTTTCCATGACGGGGAGTCTTCCATGCTCCGAACTTGGAGGTTCGTGCGAGTAGAACGCACATGATGGGCAAGCAACTGATGTTGGAGTGGGTTCGATCATGCGTGGCCGCTCCGGACTCACCAGCATCAATGTTGCTGCTGGTGGACTCTTGGACTTCTTTTAAAGATCATGAAGCAATCCAGTCGGTGCTACCTCCACAAAACCAGTTAAAGGTGATGAACATCCCAGCTGGTACTACGAGGTTGATACAGCCACTGGACGTTTATTTCTATTTGCCGTTTAAAAATATGTACAAACGTATCACCTCACACGTATTAGCTCATGATCTTAAATTTAGTGTGTATACTCGCGATTCAATTCTTCGATTACTATCGCTTGTGTACTTCCAATTCTGTGCCCATAGGTTTAAGAAGTTTTTTTCTTACTCATGGCATGCTGCCGGCTTTTTAGGCACACATCCAGGTGATTTTGAGACACCTACACAATTCTGTTTTCCATCTGGTGTAGTAAGTGATTGTGAAGGAACAGCGTGCGCTGAAATTTTTTTCATTCGTTGTGCTCATTGTGAAAAACTTCTCTGTTTTAAACACTTCGTGCTAGATTATCACATCTGCCTATAATATATTGAAGTTATCCTGTAATGAATTTGAAATGTATAACAATAAGAATAGGTTTTTGTAATTTGGTGGTTGGAGTAGATTTCAGACGGTTTAGAAAGACTGGTTCACCTCAAGCATTCAAAAAGTCGCCGAAGGCGGCAAAACTAACATAAAAAGGTTTTCACAACCTGGAGGAAGAAGTTATGCAAGATGCAAAAACGCTGTCGCCCACGAAATCCGATCCTTGGATCCCTCGCCTATGAAGCGTCACGCTTACCTCTACTCCACTCCGCCACTGCTGTGCTGTCGGCGACCATGTCTTATGTGCTTTCTCCTTTGAGCGCTCTCTTGAGCGCTTTCCGGAGACCACTTCCATAACTTCGTTCAGAGAATCGTTTGGCAGATTTTGAAAGCAGATTTGAAATCAGCATCAAAAAATACGTCTAGCAGTGTAGGTCTCATCTCAAATGGCCACATCGACTTGGGATCCTTCCCTTGTTAGCCTGTTCAGCACAAGTGAGGAGACCCCGAACCAGCGCGTCGTAGTCTTCGGTCGATTCATCCAGGACCTGCCAGTCCTATCGGGACAAGACGTCATTCAGAACATCCCCGTCGTATACAACATGCTTCGAGCTCTTCGCGCGACGTTGAGAGATCTTTTCCAGCTTGTGACTGAATCTGATCTTAGCACGAAGAAGTCGATGATCGGAACCACTGCAAAAAGATAGTACCACACCAATATCTAGCAAGCACCACTTTCTGTTTGTTAATATGTGGTCCAGTTCAGCATGAGTTGTACCATTTGGAGACTCCCATGTCCAGCGGCGATGTTCCTCCTTCTGGAAGAAAGAATTTTCATGGAAGAGTCGAGCCGCGGACAGGAGTCCCGCTAGACGGTTTCCGTTCTCGTTCCTGTCCCTCATTCCGAACTTTCCAATCCTGAACTCCCCTCTTGTGCTTCGCCAAGCCTAGCGTTGAAATCTCCAACAACGAATTTGCAGAAGGACTTCTCGTTGTGGATGATTTCCTCAAGTTGATCGAGCTCTTCTTCGTCAGCTGCAGAGTGTGGAGAGTAGCAGTTAACGATAGAGATGGTCTTCATGTGCGCATTTCGTAGGCGTAGGATGGCAAAGCGAGGAGACAGGATCTCGTAAGAATCGGCGAGATGGACGATAGATGGATGCACGACGACACCAACGCCGCCGACGTTTCGCGATGGAAGCTTTTCACCACGAATGATGAGNTGCTGCCGTAGTTCGCTTTCCCGCCCCTCGATCGGTGTCACGTTAGACGAGTGTCGAGACAATACAGATTGCTATTATTCGTTCTAGGACCATCGCACAATCAGCTAATCGCCGAGTGATGAGGCGATGTTTTTCTCCCATTCTTTTTTCCTCTGTTTTTCTTTTTGCTGCCGCGATCCCTTATTCAATTTCCTACTCCTAGAGGCTGAAAAAGGTAGCTACTTTTGCTGTTACTAGGGTTTTTTTTGTTTATTTATGCTCATAGGTGAATGAATTTTTGCTTATCATTGTCTGTTATTCGCAACAGGACCCACACGCGCGCAGTGAAACACACTGTTTAGCTCGTCCGGACGCCCCACTGTTCCTCATTTTTCTGGTTTTATTCTCGTCCAGCCCCCTTTTTGACGGTTTTTCAAAGCTTTTTTTCACTTTGAAAACACCGATTCACGCAGTTTCTTCACCTTCACTATTTTTGATCCTGTTCATTTTTCATCATAATCTGAACTACCCAAAATTATCGTGAACTGTGCCTTCAAGAAATCTCCAGAGCGTCGTCCTTTCGAACAGCGCGAAGAATGGTGTTGGCTGCATGCTCATCTTGCTTTTGTAAAGTCCTATTTCTGAGGCGTATGTTGAAGAAGGGAGGACCGGCTGTCGAAAAGGTGTACGCGAAGCCGAATGATATTCACGTTCCTACTATTCCCTCGATATTCATAAATGCTCCCCACGCAGCGCGTTCCCTTCCGCTGAGCTCTGGAGCTGAAGTTGACGTCTCAAGCTATACAAACGAAGGCGGAGTATTCAGAGATACTCGTTTTGTTCAGCGTAAAGCGTGCATCAAGTGCTTATCCGTTTCTCATGAACATCGTCTTCGTCAAGTTCAGTCTTAAACCAATCGTTTCGCAAGCGCTGTCAAACTCGGCCTGCATTCGTTCCGCCTACTCGATATTCAGCGTTATAAGCACGATGTCGTCTGCAAAGCGAAGGTTATGTGAAGCGGTCGTTGACCTACACTCACAAGCCATCTCATTCCAGATGATGTATGATGTTCTCGAGGGGTGGCACTGAAAAGTTCGGGCAAGATGATATCGCCCTGCTAATTCCCTCTCTTCACGTTGATGAGGACTTTCTCGTAGAATAGCGAGATTCCGGTGGTCAGGTTGATGTAGAGCTCACAAAGCACCCTTATGTATTGAGTAGGAACACCCTGGTCGCCCAGGGTTTCGAATACCGCTTCTGTCTGTACAGTATCAAGGGACCTCATATTGATGGGCGTCAGACAGCGGCCTACTCGTCATACTTCACTAAGTCTTGTGACAATATGGATGTGACGAATTCTACTGAACCCTCTTCGCAACTCAGGTTGCTCGCATTGATAATCAGTAGCCAGTATTCCGCCAATCCTGTTCAGGATGAGTTGCTGAAAAAATTGTAGATTACAAGCAGCAGGCAAATTGGGCGATAGTTGCCAATATCGTCTGGCTCTCTTTTTTTACAGAACTACAGTTTTGCAAATTTTCCACGTTGTGGGTACATTGCATTCCGACAGGTCGCGTGAAGAACCTATTAGGTTGGTACATTAACTTCCGCCGTTTTTTGCGTGCAAAAACATATTTATTACAAGATTAAAACAAAATGTACATTAACCAATGTATTGCCCATCGTGAGCTACAACCTCTCGCCATCTTTCTGATAACTTGTTGACTCCACGTCTAAAAAGTCTTCATCTTTTGAGGCAATCCAGTCATCCACCTATTTTCGCACTTCTTCGGCATTCCGGAAGCGTGTATCTGCCAAACTGACTTGCATGGACCGGATTAGGTGGTAATCAGAAAGAGCAAGATCCGGAGAGTGTGCGGGCTGAACAAGCTGATCCCATCCAGCAACTGCAATTTTTTTAAAGGACATTCTTCACAACATGGGGTCTGGCATGTTCGTGGTGGAACAGCACCTCATGATATTTTCTTCCGAATAACGGCCGCTTTTAGATGAGAGCATCCTACAAACTGTCAAGTTGGTATTCGTAGCGGTCAGCAGTAACGGTTTCCTTCGGGCTCAGCAGCTCATAGTACACAACACCCTTCTGATCCCACCACCAAATGCACCCACAGAATTACTTTTTGACAATGGACATTCTGCTTTCGTTGCAAACTCTCGAGTGAAGAGAAACCATCTCTGCAGGTTCAGATGAAGCTTGTCCTCCATAAGTATCAAAAAGCATCGGGTGGGCTTCAATGCCAGTTTCCATGAAATCAAACAGCAGGAGGAGGGCCCCGGGAAAGCGGTTTATCACGTTCCGTGACCAATCAGTCTGAGAGCAACGGGATTTTTTGGAAAAACTGTTCTGTCTGCCCTTAAGTAGGTAGCCAATACCCTATCTTACAGAATATGACAGGATTCACAGGTGAACCTCTAACACGGTTCGCGCAACGACCCTTTGAAGTCGGCGGCGGAAATTAATGCGCGCACCTAATACCTTAAGAACTAGTGAAGAGCCTTACCAGCAAACTAATTGGGCCCGCAACTGCCGTCCAATCAGTTTGTTAAGCGCTATTCACAGGCTAATCACCGGGATTCAGAGAATGGTTACTGAAGAGCACTTTAGTGCATGATATAATCCTATCTGGATCGAGCGTCCTACAGTTCCTCATCGAGGTGCTGACGCGTCCAATCTGGAAAGGTGGAACTGGAGGAGCGAAGCATTCTGCACGGATCTCTTCGATAGCCACTTCCACTGTTATCCCAGGACGACGAAGGGAGGTCGTCTTGGTTTCGTAATTGGAGAATCTCGGGCGGGCCTTTCGAATGGTCTTCTCAGTCCAGCGGCCAGTCCGGCCAGACCACCCACTTTTCACATTCTCCCTTGTGTTTTCGGTAGTGGCCACCTAAATGAGCTCTTCATGATGATGCCCTTTTTTGTAAAATCACTCTGATCTTTCATTTTTCAACCTAGCCTCGCTACCACTGGCAAGAGCCCGAAAAGGGATCCTACAGTACCGAGTGAAAAGCACTTGATGCAGTGCAGGTAGTCGTGTTAGATATCAAGAGATAGGGCGCCGTATCTGATCCTGATCCGTATATTCGGCAACTTGGGGACTCCAAGAACTCCAAGAATCAATGTCAGTACCATAATGAAAAAGGTTAATAACATTAATACACATTAGATTAAAAAAACTAACTTGGTGGTTCGTTTCGCCTCTTACATCCAGACGAACCACTTCGTTTTTTGCCATCCCGAGGCTCATCAGTGGATGAAGGTTGGCAAAAAACAAAAAAAGTTAAACATTCAATTTTAATCAAAAACAAAGAACCAAAGAACGCGAATCAGAACGAGCAAAAAAGCAATAACAAAGAACGCGAATCAGAACGAACAAAAAAGCAATAACATAAAAGAAGACAAGGACAAGGACAGGACAAGCATAATAGGATGTGAGTAACAAAAATAACAATGTATGAGAAAGCCTAAGTTTGATACGCAGTCAAACATCGCAACTCGTTATAGTTAGAGCACGTTACCGTGGACGGTACCAAACTAATGTCAAAAGGGAGGGAAGTAAATAAAAACAACATACCTGTGAAGTAATTAGAGGAAGGCTAACTAGTAAATATCACATTCCATAACTCTATATTAGAAATAAGTAGAAGAAGCTGAAATCCAATAAAGCATGGTAATAGTTGAAAATAGAGAAGGAAAAGTAACAATATTACCAAAATTACAAATGTATGTATTTGAGTAAGTATAAATGTTAGGCATAATTGTAAGTATGTAAGTACATATGTATATATGAATGAAAGTATGCATGTACAAAATGTGTATATTTTTGTATTTAATTTATGCATGTGTGTAAGTAAGTAAGATTGTATGTATGTATGTATGTATGTATGTATGTATGTATGTATGTATGTATGTATGTATGTATTTATGTATGAATGTATGATGTATGTATGTGTGTATATGTATGTGTGTATGTATGTATGTATGCATGTATGTAAGTGTGTATGTATGTACTACTGTGTGAAAATCCTTTCAATCAGTTCTTTAATTTTTATGGGCTTATCACTGATATTGTACTTGTAGCTGATATTCTTGTTATGACAAATACTTTTATTGATGCATGCCATAGTAAAAACTTCGGGGTATCCATTATTCATTAGGGCCCTTTTCATTTCTTTAATCTTAGTAATGAAACTTCCAAATTGAGAACAAGTATTAGTTATACGTAAAGTCTCTGTATATATGACTGAGATTTTATTGAAGAGAGAAATGTTAGTGTAATGGTGTGGAAACCTTATAACTTTGAAATTAAAATCGTCCGTCTTGTTAAATATAGTCATAATTCTGTTGTCTTTGATATCAATTGTTAGGTCCAAATAATTACTATTACGTTCTGATAAATGTGTTTTCTTGAACTCTATATCTCCTTGATATGTTTGTTGCTAATAATTTTCTATAGCCTGATCACTAGTGTTATGTATAACCAACAAGTCATCCATATATCTATATGGAATGAACACCTTGCTACTTTCAAACTTATTTTTAATAGCCAAATCAAATCCCATACTGGAAAGATTAAGTTCGGCCAAAAGAGGATTGGCATTACCACCTTGAGGAACTCCTTTAAGCTGTTTGAATATAGAGTTTCCAAAGACACGAAAACTATTATTCAGCAAATATTCAGTAAGATTAATGCTGTCATGTATACTGCAATATCTATGATTTGGTTTAAACTCTATACCATCTGTATAGGTGACACGATATCCATTTGTGGTAATAAAACTTTTACCTGCATTTTTAAAACAAATTTTCAATAAATTTGAAATGTTCTTGATAATAAGTTTATGTTAAATTAGTAAACATATCAGTAAAATCTGCAGTGTAGATTCTCAAATTTTCGTGATGAATGTTACCAAGTTCTTCACTTATGTTTATATTACTGATGGAGCAATATGGTTTTAAGGTCTTACTACAAGCTTGCACCACATGACAATATTTGATGAAATGTGTTCTAATATAGCTAAGCATAATCCTAAGCTCTAAAGCAATTGGTTTAATACTACTATTGTAAGCTCCAAGCCGAGGCAGGATTATGTGATCAATTACGAGGTCGTTCAACGCTTTTTTTTTTCGAAGAAGCCCGTTTTGGGTAATGATGACAAGTATGTTGTGAGGGGCAAGAGCGATTAGGTATCAATGAATTAATGGCAGAGTTCAGCCTTGGCGGACTACTAGCAAATTCTTTGCCTCATCGGGCAATTCTTAAGGCGAACAGTAGCACTACCGCAGTGGGAATGTCTTTCACGCATCCAGTCATCAGAAGAGATCACACAGTCTGAGTGACTGTTTGCATCGAGGAGCTACTTTCATATCTATGAGGTGCATTACAGCGTTCTTTGTTTTCTCATTATTAGTGATGTGGGAACTTGTTTCATCATTTTCGCCTCCCGAAATATCAGAGGGTCGTCCCTAGATTTATGTGGCCTGACGACTCTCCATGCCTACATACTGTCGCTCATTTGCTAATCTTGGGTGCACCCTTTTTGTATTTGTCATTGACCCTTTGACGACAATGCGTATTTCGACATTGTGCCCTCATGATACTACTACCCCTTTCATTCGTGCTTGGGTGGATAACCACCGGTAGGTGCTGTTTTCCCAGTAGAAAGTTCTTTCACTGCCTTACAGGATTTGGCAATATCTTTCGTATAACAGAAGTATCGAGATCTTGTTTCATCCATTACATATAGTAATAGGTTGGGCTCTCGCCCACCTCAGATGTACAGCAACCACAGTGATATGAATATCATTTATCGTGCAAGCAATAACAGAATAATACAGGTGTCGGATAACTGAGGTGCCGAGCCTCTTCGGACCCGAGGTGGGTCGAGGTCGTCGTCTTCAGCTCCATCGGGGAGCCCGGCCGGTCGTCGCAGATCTTGTCGCCTCCTCTGCCTCCTCCGTTGCCTTTTGTATCTTCGCCGCGTCGCTGCCTCCTTTAATCAGTTCTCATCATCTGCGTCGCGTTAAGCTTACTGTATGTATGAGAAACCTATTGATCATCGTCGAGACCCCGGCTCACACACCTCCCCTTCCCCTATAGCAAGTCCGTCCTCGGACTTGAGTAAAATATGGTAATGGAAGGATGAAAAACTCACTGTTTATGTGTGATAAATGGTGTTGCAATTATGCGAAGAGGTCCGGAAGTGTCAGGTCGTTGACGATGACGTCGTTCTCGCGAGCCCATTGGATGACGCGGTTCCAGTTCGATAACGTCTGAAGAGCGCGCAAGTTCCCCAGGACGAACTCGCCATGACGGCAGCGTGTGATTGCGACGTTGAGGCGTCGCCTATCATTTAAAAATTCTCCTGTCGAGGCGTCTACGTCGGAGCGTGTCGTTAGGATGATAACAATATCCATTTCGCGTCCTTGTACCGTGTCGACTGTGTGCAAGGCGACGCCTAGTCGGCGGGCTTCTGATTGTAGGAGGCGTTGCTGGTCCTTGTAGTAGGTGATGATGGCTATACCTGATGCAGCAATGCCCTTCGCCAATAACGCACAAACAAGATCTACGCAGCATCGAGCCTCCTCCTCGTTGGAGTGCGACTGAGACGTTGAGAGTCGAGACGAACCGCTGACGTTGACCAATACGAAGGGGATGCGCGGGTTGGGAAGAGTAATACGCCTCACCAGAAGTGCGCGGTCCGAGGCCCGTGTTCCACTGACGAGCGTCCGATTGTAGACGAGACGATTTGGGAGAGAATTAAGAGAGGGGTGGGCTCTAAACGTGGTTACTAGTCCTGCGAGTGGAACGTCCCTGTCCAGTAGAATATCCATGACACCCCTTGCTCCAAGTCGTGCCGGCACTGATGATGCAGGGCAGCGAAGATGAGGCGCTAATTGGTGTGCGTCACCTATGTAGATATGCCGAGCCGATGGGAATCGTGAGATCATGGCGGCGAAGGCCGGCTCCGGGATCTGCGAGGCCTCGTCCCCTATGATGATCTTGCAGCTGGCCAGCAACTCGTGGAAAAGGCCGCCTGGGCGCGTCGATTTGAGTAGTGACGACGTTGTGATACAAAGTATGGCGGGGAATCGCACCCGCATCATGAGTCCTACTGCATACTCTGTGGCTTCCGAGTTCTCGTCCTCAGCGATCCTAAATTCTTCGCGTTCCTCATCGGTGAGATTAACTGTGTCGGCACTATTGAAAAGTAGTCGTTCGATAAGTCGTCGTCCATGGGCATATGCTCTAAGACGTTCCTCATCTCTCGGACCGAATGCGTCGGGAAAATTGGTCAGAAGGCCTTGGAGGATGTTATGAAGGTCGACTGTTGTGACTGGTGCTCCTTCTCGTAGGGCGGTGTCCGCGACGAATCGAACGGCAGGCAAGTGTTGGTAGTCAGTTAGCTGAAGAAGTGTGTCAGCGAACTGGGCTACCGCCACATTCGTGGAGGCGGTTGCGATGACCAATATTCCAGGTGTTGCTACGCGGGCAGCTATTACTGCTCCTACGACAGTCTTTCCTGTGCCGTAAGCGGCCTGTATTGCTAGGATCGGACGATGCTCACATCCAAGTTGTACCGCGCGGGCCTGGTCGTCCCGGAAACGAAGTGTAGAAGAACGATAACGGATTGTAGTGACGGATGGGGGACGTGTTGGCGCTGTGGCTTCCATAGATCGGCGTCGAGTGCTACCATAAACCATGTTGAGTATATCGTTGGCCGTCGACGGCGCGTTTATAGGGATGTTCCCAAACAGATTCTCACTTGCGAGGACCTCGAACAACGGTTCTGTTCCGGAAGTTGCTCGACACAAACGGGCGCTCACGTGAACTTGTGCGCTATTGGTGTTGCGGTCGACGGATCCGTAACGTTCGATTGCGCGGTAGACGGCGCGGTGAGTTCTTGGCTCGGAATGGAATGGAACACTGAGTACCTGGCCGGTGAAATTGAGTGAAGTCCGAGCAATTGTGGTCCGTGCCACCATGGATGAGTTGGTGATCCATATGTCGACTGGACGTCCGCGTGACCAGCCGGATTCGGACGTCATCCTGTGCAGTTCGATCTGGAGCCGAAGTGGGAGGGCTGTCATACTCGGAACGAATGCTACGACCTCGTGTGTCTGTCTGTCGTCCATAAGGACTGCCTGAGCCGCTAAGGCGGCACTTGCTGCTGCGAAAAATGTACCCATACGTAGAGGAGCCGTGATTGGGTCGCTTCTGTAGCTTCGAAAATCGTCTAAACGATCTGCTATCCAGTCCAGTTCTTCTTGCGTTGGGCGGTAAACTCGTAAAGGTAGCATAGCCTCCTCGGGATGTGACGGTATGAAGTAGCGGACAGCGTTTACCAGGGCGCGTTGAGCCATCACCGATACCGCTGGAACACAGAAGCGCATAGCGCAGGATACGTTTGTGCGCGCTACACCAAGAAGCAAATTGTCCCGTTCGACATCGTCGAGATCGAAATTGCAGAGTGTCGGAGGTACGCGTACTGCTTCCGGGCATCCTTGAAACGCGACGTGGATGTTGTTGACGTGACCGAACTGTCCTCGTCGATTGACTGCAAGCACGACTCCTAAGAGATGGTGTTCTGCTGTCGACGGCGTAACCCAGGTGTATTCGTGGACGCGGAAGAAGTAGGGGAGACTAACGTCGAAGCGAGATGCTCGAGGTAAACGTGCTTGTCTCAACGTTCGTTCTCTGTCGCGGCTACGGAGAGCGGCGGGAGTGGGACGCAAGGAAAGAACCCAGACCAAGTCCTTGATGGAGATCTGCGATACGTCGAATCCGCGAGTGTTGGAGTGAACGTTGATGGAGTCTTGAGTTAATGGAATGCAGTGGAGCTCGCGATGGTTGGGTCCAGGTATAAAAAAGTCCTTGGCTTCTAAAATAACTCCTTGTCCGTATCCAAGAGCGACGACTTGATATAGGACCGGGTGACGGTCTTCGCCTGAAGGAGGTGCCAATGAGGACGCGGGTGTAACACCTTTGAGGGCTGATGGCATACGCCGAATATCGTCGGTGTCGTCGCGGAAGCTACCGTTGAGTAAGTCGTCGATTAATTCAATCGCATGCTGCCGGAAAGCGACAATATCCTCGAATTGCATTAGTTCCATTACTGGCACTCGGTTCGTCGAAGAAGGTGATCCCACGAAGCGACGAGGAAAGAGTGAGCGGACGAAGCGACTGGCGAAGTAACCATTTCGAGGGATCTGGCGGTAGACGTGAAGAGGGAGAGCCGCTGTCAGTTCGTTCTCTCTTGGCTGAAGTACACGTCGACGGGGTGTCACGTACTGGCCCCACGGATGGAGATCGGCGAATGGGCTTCTATAGTCGTCCGGAGTGTCGACCCAGCGTGGTGGAAAGGCGGGATGAGGTTGAATTCCCTGCTGAAGTGTCTCTGTCGGTCGCACACGTTTGGATGGCGTAGCTCCGAACGAAGAAGAAGCTCGCGGGCTGGGACGTGGTGCTGCCGGTTTGCGGAAGGTGGAAAAGGCGTCCGAGTGGGAGCGTACGCGTGACGAAGACGATGCTGCCGGTGTTGATGAAGAAGATGGTGCGGGTCTGGCCGCTTCCGTCTCCTTCGGCTGTAGTGACAGGCGTTCCAGCTTGGTTTCGTCTGCAAGAAGAGGAAGTGAGGAGGTCAAGAAAGGGTCTTCCGGGTAGCTGAGGCAAGACCTACTAAGCTCAGGAGGTTGTGACGACGAAGCTTGTTGTGTGCCCGTTGTGAGTGCGGATGTCGTGGAAGATGATGCGGTGTCAGAGACTTGGGCACCAGCCCCAGGACCTGTTNTTGCCTTCCTGGAAAAGGGGGTGCTGCCCATAGCGTATGGTCAATATTGAAGTCGAAGAGCAACTCACTGATAGAAGCGTCGTGGCGCCGTTATTCGACAGTGTACTAGAGGTGGCATCGGTCCGAGAAGCGGTGTACTGGACGAAGAAGGGTGGTCACCCGCTCGAGGTGCGGTTGCCGAGTCGTCTTCCATAGGAGTAGGCTCGGTGGACGACGACTGAGCCGATGAGCTTTGGACTTTGTCAGATGAGCTCATAACGCACTTTTCTGCAACATTCTGATCGAGGTATGACTCTGAGGTACGAGAAGGTGCGGATTCCGGCGCGACGAAGAAAACGACATAAATCTACGCGATTCCGACCAATGAAGGAGAGTTGACGTCGACTGTGAATAAGAGGAGGAAATACAGAAATGGAGCTGCTGGCACCGAAGTGAACGGAGGTGGAGAAAAGGAGACGATTATCAGTGAATAGTTAGAAAAATATCAATATGCCATATATAAAGCGTAAAAAAATCAAAGGAGGAAAGAGAGAAAAAAATGCAGGAAGAAATACTCCTGTTTCCTGTAATTCCGAAACTCAGCATGATTGCAGTCGTGTCCTATAACGAGTATTATATCTGTGAGAAGGTTTTGGTACTTGAGTCTGGCGGAGCATGCCTGCTGAGGCTGGATCGGCGTGAGAATATCCTACGACAGCTACTGGGGAGGTGTCAATTGAGGCAAGAGTATTCTGCTCTTTTTCCGGCTGNCACGGTGTAGTGAAAACGGGACCCGTTAAGACAAAGCACTTCTTAATCTGATTCATATGTACCTTCCTAGGAGCGGACTGGGGGGCCGAGATGCTAATGATTGTGACGTGTGGATGGTTGACCTCGATAACACGAAACTGTCTTACCCAAGGATTACACAGCTTGGTGGAAAGTCCGGGTTTGGGCGGGAGGTCCCTCAAGTAAACGCGATCTCCTACTTTAATTGAGGAAGGGGGGAGTCCGTGGCGATCATACTGGCGCTTCATGGCTGCGCTGCGTTTGCGATTATGAGTTACAGCAGATGCCCATGCCGCGTGTAGTGTTGTAACGAGTGGCTCTTCATAAATGCTACCGTCCATGTCGGAGGGGACGTGGCCTTCATCTCGATGTTTGATCAACAGGTCGATGTTGAGAACAGGGTCGCGTCCGAACATAAGGTTGAAGGGGGATTCGTTGGTGCTGCTGTGGATGGAGGTGTTATAAGCGAGTGTGCATGCAGGCAAAAACAAATCCCAGTTGGACTGGTTGGCATCTATATAGGTCCGCAGCATTTCCTGGAAAGTAACGAACATACGCTCGCACGCGCCGTTCCCTTCGTGATGATAGGGGGTTGTGAAATGCCGTTCAATTTGCATCAGTCGGCCAAGCTCCGAAAGGAGGTCCCCTTTAAGATAAGATGCGTTGTCAGAAACGAGTACAGTCATTGCCCCAAACACTAAAATACAGTGGGTGAGAACCGCGTGAGCTACGGTAACTGCGGTGCAGTTGGGTAGGGGCGCCGTTATGACATATTTGCTGAAATGATCGATCAGACATAGGATATATTTGTTGTCTCTGATTGTTTTGTGGTATGGGCCGCTAAGATCTAGATAGACTCTGTCGAAAATGGCCCCAGCGTGAACCGGAAGCAAGGCCTCTCGGGATAGCGGGTGTGGACGTTTGCGCTGGCACGCATCGCATGAACGGACGAAGTTGAACACGTCCTCACGCATGGATGGCCAAAAGAAACGACGTGCGATCTTAGCAAGGGTTTTCTTCCATCCAAAGTGCCCGTTCGCGGTGGGACTATCATGTAAGGCGATGCAAATAGGTTCCCGCAGGCTAGATGGGACAAAAATCACTGGTGACCGACGCGGGCCCCGGGGATCCACATAATACAGGCAGCCGTTCTGTTTAATCACACATTTCTCGATCCAGGGCAGGCAAGCGTCTTTAACCGTTGCTGGGAGGCCGGGTGGAAAAATCCCCGTGTCCAGGAAGACCATTATCGCGTCACAGAGCGGGTCCTGCTTTTGTGCGAGTAGTGCGTCGTATGGGCGTATATATATAGGAGGAACCAGTGCCGGGTGTGGCATACGTGAAGAAGGGGCTGGAGTCGCCCGCTGCAGAAGGCAACGTGGAAACTCTACTATGTCGTCGCAGTCGGGAGAACCTTCTGTGAATGAATTAGAGAGATCCGGAGAGCGGCTCAGATGATCAGCTATTACGTTTGATGACCCTTTGTGATATTCAATGGTTATGTCGAGACTTTGTAACTCCACAACCCATCGGGCCAAATTGTCGTGGGGCTTACGATGACGAAGCAGGAAGGTAAGGGGCTGATGGTCGCATAGGACTCTAGTGTGGTTTCCGTAAATGGTTGATCGGAAGAACCGCAGAGCACTGATCATAGCGAAAAGCTCAATATGTGTTGGACTCCATTTTTGTTGTGAGGGGGCTAAGGTTTTACTGTAGTAGCCAATCGCTACGGGTGGTGGAGATGGGTCTTGCACCTGTAACAGAGCCGCTCCTACGGCGATCTTACTACCATCGGTGTGTAGGAGGAACTCTTTATCTTGAGGAAACGCAAGGCAGGGGCGGGTGACCAGGACCTCTTTCAGCTGGGCAAAGGCAACGGCCTGTGCCTCACCCCACTGAAAGGGAACCTTGTCTTTGCATAGCGCATATAGGGGTGCTGCTATGTGCGCAAAGTTCTTGACGAATTTCCGGAAGAAATTGGCCATTCCAAGGAACCCCTTGACTGCTTTCGTGGAGGTAGGGGCGCATATCTCTGATGGCTTGGATGTTCCGTTCGGCGGGGGTATACGAGGTGCCCGAAATTTCGTGTCCAAGGAACGTGTTAGAGGACTGGGCGATGCTGGTGAGTTTCTTACCGGAGACCTTGATGTTGAATATACGAAACCGTTCAAAGATCTTACCGAGTGACGCCAGATGCTTGTCGAAATCGTCGTCAAAAACGATAATGTCATCGAGGTACGCTAAACAGTTGTCGTCCAACCCTGCTAAAATCCGGGCCCTGCAAAAATACGCTCCGGCGTTGCGGAGACCGAAAGGTAAGTAAACGAATTGGTAGATCCCGCGGTGGGTCGCCCATCCGCACTTGGCTTGACTTTCCGGGGACAACATCAGCTGCATATATCCCGATGCTAAATCGAAGGTGGTGTAGTATCTCTTCCCCGCTACTCGCTGAAGAAGGTCATCGATCCGCGGAAGAGGGTAACGATCCGGGATCGTGATGTCGTTCAGGGGGCGGAAGTCAAGGCAAACCCTCAGGGAACCGTCCTTCTTCTTAACTAGGACCGTGTTGTGAAGCCACGGAGTGTCGCTCTCGACTATCCTTCCTGATGCGAGGAGCTTGTTGATATGATCATCAAGCTCTTTCTGGTATCGTGCGGGTATGCTAGTCGGGCGGTATCTGGATGGTGGAGTCTCTGAGGTGGTTCGTATGGAAATGCGGGTATGGGTGTACGATCCTAAGTCATAGGATGACTGAGAAACGCGATCGCGAAACTCATGAAAAAGATCGATAAGATGTTGGCGTTGATCGGTGGTGACATTGGCTCTGGAAAAGTCGATGGACGATGANGTAAGTTCTGGCGCTTGTTCCAGGACATGTGATGTATTGCAAATCGTAGTAGCCGTGCTAAAAATGCTGATAAAGATCCACGATGGATCCATTGGGTAATTCCACAACCGGATGCGCCGTGGTGAGATGTTGGTCCTTATAAATGACCTTCGGTGTGTCGGTTGGGTTGCTGAGGAACAGCTTCGGAGAAGCGGCTCGAGATACGGCTGGGGCGACCATAACGTGGTCCTCGGTCAGGAGCGAACCCTCTGTGAGGAGTGCTATGTCCTTAGCCAAGTGATCTGCACTGGAAACATAACATGAGACCATGACTTCTGATGCGGAGGGAGCACGACGGTGGACGAGGCGTGAAGCGACATTGGTGAGGCGTCTGGGGTTCTGAACTCGTGAACGCGCGGCGATTGCGAGGTAAGGATGGGTAAGACGTCACTGCCAACACGAAGTGTGCATTGTCTGTAATCGAGTGCCCAGGAGGGTAGTCGCCTTAGCAAATCGTTACCTAGAATGATGTTATAGGCGTCAGCTGCTCTCGGTGTGCAGTCGGTCTCCGTGAAGTGCACTAGGTGATCCAGTGACTGATGTCCCAATTGGAAGGTGATGGTAGCAGCCCCAACGAACCGAACGGGGATCCCTGCCATTCCCACGGCCGCTGGTGTCCGACACGGTTCCAATACGAAGATACCAAGTAAAGGCAATAGGGACTGACTGGCGACGGTTACCCCGGCGCCGGTGTCTACCAAAGCTAGCATATTGACCCCGTTGGCCCGGACCGGCACTTGCGCCACAAAGTATGATTGCGTAGCATCCAGAGAAAGGGCCGCGACGGTTACCTCAGCTGTGGATACTACATCTTCAAGTTCAATTTGAGAGATGGTAAGATTTGGTGGAAGGCGGTGTCGGGGCATAGTTATGGGTAAGGTTACTCTGTGTAGACCCGGGGATTCCGATGAGGCCAATCGGGGTGTGAAGCCGGGTGCCGCCGGAAATTGCCGCCCATGTAACCAAACGGGTGAATGGAGTCTGATATAAAATAATATAATTTCTTAACTAGGGAGAGGGTGACAAGCCCGCAACAGCTGGTAACCCACAAATCGAAAAAGGAAAAGGAGAAAGGAAAGACAGAAAAAAGGGAAGCAGCCGGTACGGTTGATGACGTTGCTTGTCCTGCCTGTCCCAACCCGGATGTGTCCGTGTGAGTGAAGTGATCGAGAAGTCGGCGATGGTCCCGTGCTATCCACCACTCTCGTAGCTGATGTTCATTGGTGACTTCACTGAAATTGGTCAAAATAAGGTTATGAAAGATTGTAAGAGGAGGTGCTAGTGGTACTGCAGCTAAGTGAGATAGTGACGGGATCGGTATAATGTCACGCGAGGGTGTAGTGGACCATGTTCCTTTGGTGGGGGCAAAGTTACGTAGCCCCGTGGGAGAAACGAAAACAAACGGGGAAACATTTTTGCAGTCAACGGTCGAAGCTTGTTTGAGGAGAACCCCGGTGACGGGATCCAGGAAGGTTTGCATTGTCATTCCACTGGGGAGACTTAGCTCGGCCCGTGGGTAGTTATAACAGGTGGTGTTAAAGGGAAGAAGACGTACTGAAGAAGGGGGAAGAGCTACACAGCGGCGGACTTCGACATAACCTCCGCCTAGATGAGTTGCCGATATATCCTGACGATTCAAGAGAGCTCGCATAGTGGGAGTCGGAGAGGTCGCCAACGCAGCGTGAAGCGAGACCGTCATGATATTCGTGCGGTCGCATAAAGTGCGCAAGGCGTTACGGAAGAGGACGCTCACGGAAGAAAGTGTCGCACCCTCTACCGCGAGAAGTTGGGCTGCCAATTGTTTAGATGTTACGAGGCCCACCGAATCCGAAACCTGGCGTCTTTTCCGTTGGGAGATCCAGACAGCATACCCTTGATCGGTAATTATAAGTTGCTTCAAGCAATCAGTCGCTCTTGGGGAACGGTCGTTCCATGAGAGGGCAAATTCCTTGTCGTTACTCATCCATATGGCACCCATCATGTGGCCGGACATGCGGGCTACCATGGTGTAAGACCACTCTCTGCCACCATCAGGTGTCCAGACCAGGATCGAGCCATCGGACAGCGTACACGTACCGTCCAAGTAGGAACACGCCCCCATGTCACCCATGGGAGACTGTGGGGATCGGTCGGAGTGCCTGGCGTTCACCGTTGTGTTAAAAAAGTAACAGTTGGTAACCTCGGAGTAATGGTTTACACAGCATCCGAACGGAGCCGATGGAAAGTCAAATTCGAGGATATTCTGAGTGCGCCACAACCCCGAGGATTCTACCAGTTCACCGTGAGAACAACGATGGCGCAAGGCCATCTGGCGGCACTCCTCAACTGGTACGGGTAACATGGTCTCGACGTGATGTTCCCGGTGCATACTGAAAAAGGAAGTGGAGTAGGAGACGGAATGACGGACGATTTTACAGAAGAAAGCCGAAGAGGAATATAATTGAGTATTAGGATGATAGACATGAAGAACGACTCGTTCGAGAGGTTCAGAGATGTTGGGCAACAGTCCTGAACAATTGATAGAATTTGGTAAAAAATAGAAGGTGGAAGGGTTGTCGGACGGGCAGAGCCATGCTTGGAACGCTTCAGTAGATGAAGTAAGTGCGGTGAGAGATAGCACCATGCAAAACAGAAGGCGAACGTCGGGGAGGTGTGCGGAAGTGGTCGGAGGGCCTGATGGAGCGGGATGTTCCATGGACACCTTCGAGAGCTCGTCGTTTCTACGTAAAAGTGCGGCAATACGTGCCTGAGACTGTCTCAACTGTGCCTGTGAATCTCTGAGGGACGTGGATAGAGCGGCGATGTCTGCGTTTGGGTCCGATGCTAGTGCGAGCGGGAGAGCGTTGGCGCGTGGAATACGACCTCTGTCGGTAGGGGAAAATGTTCCCCGGGGTGCCGAGGGTCTGGAGACCGGGGGAGCGTAGCGCCGTGGGGACGGGCACGCTGATGCAAAATATCCGAAACCACTACAGTTGTAACATCGAACTTGGTTTGCTGGACTCGATGTTCGCTGGGGCGGAGGGTTTGAGGCTGGAACTCGAGGTCTAAAAGCAGAGCGTGTGGGACCGCTTGGACGAGCTGGGCCACGACCCGGTACTAGGCGATTAATGGCCGGGACGACTGCCGAAATTGGCGCAGTGGGGTGCAAAAGACGCTCCGCTGTCGCCTCGCTGAGGAGTTGCTCCACCGTCTGCGCTTTGTTCACGGCTTGCTCGAACGACGTCGGCCCATCCAGTTTCACGAAATACCGTACATCCCCACGTAGGCGGGAGACAAATTCCTCCAAGACCCGGTCCTTCTGAGTAGCTGGGTCCTGGCCGGAAGTGGCGGCGCGGACCAAGTTCAGTACTCGGTTAGCGAACGATGTGCACGACTCTCCCACTTCCTGACGGCACGCCGCCAACTGCTGACGTGCTACATATCGTTGATGGGGACTTTCAAAAAACGCGAGCAAGTGCGAAACTATGGCTGGGTAGTTCTTTTTCGCCACCTCATCTAGCTCCTATACTTTTTCCCGAGCAACGCCGTCCAGATGCCCTATGAGGAAATTTGCGCGCTGCTCGTCCGAACGGGGGGCTGGTCGCATACGCATCACGTCCTCAAGTCAACGGAGCCATATTGAGAATTGCATCCCGTTCTCACTGACCCCAGAGAAGGAGGTGACCCGTGGAGTCGGAGCATCCGAATGGAACATCGCGATGGTCGGCATATTGTCAAGACGTTTCCCTACCGCTGCGAAAGACTCCTTAAGCTTGTCTTGGAGGGAGGCATTGCTTTCATTGATCTTGCTAGTGAGCAATGCAGTCGTAGCACAGGTGGATGTGGTGGCATCGCGCAGCGCCTTGGCGTCCCGTCCATGAAGTAGGGCGTCGTCGGAGACGTCATCGACGATGGAAAAGGGTAACTCCTTGGTCAAGTCCAAAGACTCAGCCTTGGTGTCAGAGGGTTGGGCAAAAGCCTCGTCAGGGGGAATAGAGCCTGACTTAACTTGCCTGCGAGTGATCGGCATGAAGACACAACTATACTGGATACCAGAAGGGGGGTATGGTCAAATCTTATAGGAAGAAGGAGAGGCGGGGCTCCCGAAGAGATAAGATTAAGCTGTGGGACTGTCCCGTGATGTTTTGATCTATTCCGAGATGAATGTCATGAGAACCTGTGAGCCTGCGTTCCCCGCATAGCCGGCGGCAGATTTCCAGACGGGATCTCGACGTCAGGGTGGGAAGGAAAACATCCTCTCGCCCCGCTGGGAACCAAGTCATGGAATCCTATTTTGTTGTGGGAAGAAATGTTGTTAGCGAGAAATTCCAACCGTGCGATGGCGTGGGTGTGGAACAGGGAGAAATCCCTAGAAGACCGCGAGGGAATGAAAACTCTCTGCGCGATTCACATTTGCCGACTGTTCGGTTAATCGATCGCAAGAAAGGAGAAAAAAAAGGTTTTGTCGTAAGAAATAAAGGAAAAAATCGCAAGTGGGAAAAGAGGTCTATGCTACTAAAATTGTAGACTTGATCTTAGTGATAAGGCAACCGTGTAGTCTCCAGAAGTAAAGAAAAAAACTTATTTATTCGCGTCGGCGCTTCCGCCGGTCCCTCACGACCCCTTGACTTTTGAGCTGACTGTTCGATTGCATGATCAAGAAGCTGACGGGAGCATGATGAGAATGTCATCGAACGACTACATGAGTTGGTGGTGTGTGCAGAATCAAGAGAGTGGTGGGGAGCATGCGCGGAGATGCTTCGTGAGATATGAGTGAAGCTGCCTGGCGGAGAGAGATCGAACCGTTGAGGAAAGTAAATAATCGAAGAAGGAAACTTCAAATTGTAGTTAAATCGACAAAAGAAGGATAGCAAGAAATAAGGAAATTTGATAATAACGGTAATAACGAGGAAAAGAGTAAAAGGACAAAGTATTGAAGAGAAAAAACACTTAACAGCGATCTCGCTGCTATAAGAACTGACTCATATGGCAATCAAACTGCGTGCACGATGAAAATGTACTGAAACCCACGATTACTTGCTTGAAGCTATAAGGACATTGTCCTTGCGCGCATACTCAATTATACAAAAGCGGTCTATCCCTTAGTCATACTTTGCAACAGTTCTGCTGATAACACGAAACATCAAAATGACAAACTAAACCTCAAAGTTGTCCGGACCGTGATTATGAACTAAACGAGCACTGAGAAAATGAAAACCGCTATCAATACTACTTCTATTAAGTGTCTAATGGCTGACCATAAGGTCGTCACCGAAGGTACAGCCATATGTGTCGTGTGCAGGAGAAGCTACCAAGAGACGAAGAAGTGCCTAAGGAAAGGAAGGAGAAGAGGAAAGAAGGAATACATGCCGGCGATAAAAGAAAGATGCGATGAAAGGACTGTCCGTGGCCATCGGATAGTCCAGGCGAAGAAGAAAGAAAAAGGAAAAAAAGAAAACTCGTGCGAAAGCCGAAGACTGACCTGACCCACTGAGTGCAATCGCACTCGCTGCTACCAGTAATAGGTTGGGCTCTCGCCCACCTCAGATGTACAGCAACCACAGTGATATGAATATCATTTATCGTGCAAGCAATAACAGAATAATACAGGTGTCGGATAACTGAGGTGCCGAGCCTCTTCGGACCCGAGGCGAGAGGTGGGTCGAGGTCGTCGTCTTCAGCTCCATCGGGGAGCCCGGCCGGTCGTCGCAGATCTTGTCGCCTCCTCTGCCTCCTCCGTTGCCTTTTGTATCTTCGCCGCGTCGCTGCCTCCTGTAATCAGTTCTCATCATCTGCGTCGCGTTAAGCTTACTGTATGTATGAGAAACCTATTGATCATCGTCGGGACCCCGGCTCACACAATATGATTGGAACTGACAAGGAAAGGATCGAGGTAGCACCAAGTCGAGGTTGTACTATTTGAAATGACCAGTCGGATCGCTAGGCTAACGCAGTGCTCTCCTCCTTTCCATGTAAAGTTGACCTACTGCACACATCCTCCCAAATGTGGACGCTTCGGTGCTGGAGAACAGGAGTTATAAATACTGGTCAAACCCACACGCTAGTGAGCGCCTTTCCCGTCATGAGCGGAATCTTACTCAACTCATGTGTGTCATCTCTCTTTTTAACCTTGAAAGTTTTCACGGACGCCTCTCTCCCTTTAGGGAAAGTCTAGTCACCTGCCAACAGTGTTTCCATTCTGGCGCCTGTACTCCCACCGAATTTGAACGCTCAAGGTCCACGGGAAGTGATGTTATGAGTTTCCAGTCAAATCCACCGACACAGGCGCCATTACATACACACAGGACTGTCATCACCCTTTCCCTTTTCTTCTCGAAAAGAAAGTGGTGAGTAGCACCTCCATATCAAGTAGTACAAACCGAGAGTGGTCATTATCGGTTGCCATTATCAATCGTTGCGTTTACAGCCATATTCCCTCAAAGTCTATTCAACGTCCGCGGAGTTGGAACATTGCACCGCTCACGGGAACAAAGTGGCCACTGATCGGTCATTTACACAGCAGACAGGTATAGCAAATCGGTTTATCGGTCACCATCCCTACTGCGTAAATCCTACCCCAAGAACACCCTAGAAGGAGTGAAGCTGTGAATTGACTGTGCATAATGTGGAAAGCTTCTGAACAGGATTGCCAGCTTCGCACTCAGCACTCTCCACGTAGTCCAGTTCTGCCGCATCTTCCCCTTTTGAATTTGAACGCCCTAATCCGAAGGAACGATATTCGTGCATGCTGAGCCCCCAGTAGGCGGAATCTACACCTGGCTCCTGCATCCTCATGCCGCGTGTATCCCTTCAAAGTCTGAGCTCCAAAACGATTTTCGTGTACACCTGTGCATGGGCGATCTGGGTTCAACTTGGCAATTTTTGCGTGCGCAGCTCCTCCTTCGACAAGAGTCTAGTTTGTCACCTACTCTCAGAGTTCCCATCCTGCCGCCCGTACTCCCAACAAATTCAAACGCTTCAGGTGCATGGGAACAGGAATAATATAGTTCCGTTGAAACCACTCTTAGCGCACGCCACACCCTCCGTGGGCGGATCTTTGCTCAGATAATGTGTTCTTGTGCAGCTCTACTCATTCCCCCTTGTTTCAATTTGGATAACCTGTTTCACCAGCACAAACATTTGTGGTTAGATATAAACCAGTTGGGCTACGCACGCTAACGCGTGCATTATATGTCGACGACCGCTTATTTACGATGGAGTTATTCAGCAGAATGTGTGATTATCAGAATAAGATAGAATTATTAGTGGTTGATCATAGCTCCGTCCACCTCAGTGCAGACCCTTCCCACTACAGGGTGTCCCAAAATTATTGGCGCCGATTTATAACATTATATTTCAAACTTCTCAGCTGCGAAAGACGATGGAATCTCTATGAACGTAAGCCAACACTATGTGCTACAACATGCTACAGTCTCTTTTGAAAATATCCCCCATGAGCGCGGATAGAAGTCGAAGTTTGCTCTCGACTTGATCACATGTGGCACGCAGGTATCCTCCTCCATTTCATCCCAGCCATTCTTCAGCCTTTGCATTCTAGGACTCCAAACTGAGACTGCAAACTCGACAGGTCCTCTTCTAACCAGGGACCGGTCGTGGCGTCAAGTGAGTCAAGTTCTGGGAAATAGGATGACCATCCCTTTTCACCAATGAAGTCGGGCAGCTGTCGTCGACACCACCCGCGGGCAAGCGTGGCTCTGTGGGCTGGAGAAGCGTCCTGCTGGAAGGACTATGAGATGTTTCAGGAAACGTAGTCGGATCAATGTTTCATTTATTTCCATCAGTACGCCGTTTGAGTATTGGTCTCGGTCAATTTTCATGCCTGCACCGAAGAAACCATGAGCGGCTTACCCTTGCCAGTGATTTCCTCGGAAAACATCATTTTACTATTCTGATAGCAAACTTTTTGTGAGATATTACACGCTAGGCGTTTCTTTCCAGGACGCGAACGTTTTGGTTGTTGGGAAATGGCTTGATCGTTAAAAATTTTTAGACCAGAGAAAACGACGAAGGGTTGCGTGTCATCGCTTTCGACTTTCTGCATTTTTGGCCCGGCAGTATCTGTTAAGATCGGAATTGAAGCGAAATTTCTGCATACTATAGGAACGGCAGTAAAGCTCTTGCATGACATTCTTCCATCGCGATAACTCCTGTAAGCCGTGCCCGTCGAATTCCTTTTGATGGGTCACCCAGAATCCCGACCGATTTACGACGGACCACTTTAATAGTCTTGTCTTCAGACACATTCTACCTTTCTACCTTTCCTGGTATGTTTCTGATTCAAGCTTTTTTTCTGTATCGCTTA